TTCCTATTCTCCCCCACTTTTCTATTCTTAAAGACACCTGTGCCCAATGCCTGTGTGAAGCACTTCAGCCATAGATTGGTAAGGCACTGTGCTCACACTGTACCGACAGAGGTCGCTAAACCACCACACGCAAGTCGCGCCATCAGAGTTTTGCCTAAAGGCAACCACTGAGGTCTCATGGCTGTCAGAGGCCTCTCCTTCACCTCCTGTGGCATTATTTTGTGGAAGGCGGTGTTGCAGAGAGGCAGAACCTGAGGAAAAAAGAAGAAGAATACCGGGTGTAACTTTGGAGATTATTCCTTGCAGAAAAGATTGCACTGTCATCATGACATGACTGTATTTAATCGCAGAAACAAAAGAATGCATGAGAATAGAAATCAGTGTCAAAGTCTTCAGGAATTGCTGTTTTTCTTTTTCTAAAATGCAGAGGATTAAAATGGGTGTTCTGTATGTTCAAACTGTTAAAAGCAACCCCACTATTAGAATGAACAGTCACAGAAGACACTGGTGGGTGGGTGAGGGTGGCTGAATGCTGAATCAGTAACGAAATCGTGGCAAATGGGCTGACTTACTGTTCAGAGCTATTATGCTCACTCCTCTTCTTGCCCTCCCTCCCCCAATGCTTTTGTGCCTTTCGCAGCAATCCGATATTTTATGTGAAGATTTTCTTGGTAAGGTGATAACAGTGATAAAAGTTCCAGCTGCTTAATTGTGGTGTGTCAAGCTCCCATGAAAGGTGCCAGAGAAATCCCTTACAAAAAGCTGGCCACACAGAGTATGCATGTTCCTCAGAAAGGGAGGGGACAGAAGGATTCCTTTCAATTCACATTTTGGAGAAAATGAAGTAATGGCACTAGATTCAGACATTTAGCCTCGTGGGATGGGACTGACAAATGTGGGCTTCTCTGTCACCTTCTTCTCATAGGGTCCCCTCCAGTTCTCTGCAAATGCTCCTTGGAAGATCAAGAGGTTGTGCCAGATGTGCTAAGTTGTGGCATAGGGAAAGGGGAGGGGGATCAGTCATTTTCTTTCCATACTACAGTCCCCAGAATCTCCCAAACAGCACCACTTGAAGGGTTTGAGACCACAGCTTCTAGGGGAGAACATCTGGGGTGCTTGCCCCCAAATTGGGGCATCCTCCTTTTCTCTGTCCCACAACCTAACCTGTTCCCATAGTGTTTCTTAACGAATGCTCTGTGTGGTTTTGGGAAAGTGGTTAAAGGTCGGGACAGGGAAGGGAAAACTATATCTGAGAGCCCAGTGGTATGTCCTTTGACTCTTGATCCGGTCTGTAGATCATGAACAGTTAGCAAAGTGATCAGGAAGACCATACTGGAATAGGCTTCCACTGTCAAATTTCCATCAGGCAGACACACAGGTCTTCATGACACAGCATCCTTGAAAATGAGTCTGATTAAAATCAATAGTTCTCCAAAGAAGGTCAATAGATACCCACACTCATTGTTGGTAAAGTTTTCCTGAAATGGAAAGAAAATAATGAGGTTTTTTGTTGCCGCATCTACTGTTGTCACTGCTGATGTGAATAGCTGTGGGTGGGAGGAGTGTCTGGTTAGCAGGGGTTTATATGGGCATACAGTTAAATGTGGAGAAGCTATAAAAAGAAATGAGATTAATAGGAGCCATGGCGTTAGTTTTAAGAATTCTCCGTTATTGATTCACTGACTGGAGGGTTATGTCATTTCATCAGCTATAAAATAAGACCATGAAGTATATGTTTTAGAAAATCTGAGTTTAAAATCCTATAAACACTCTGAAAAAAAAATCCTTTTTAAAATACATGTAATTCAATTTTTAGATTACAGGGCCTGTATTAATGTCTGGGGGTGGGCAACTATGGCCCCCTAAACATGATTGGACTACAACTCCCATCAGCTCTAGCCAGTGATGTAGCCAATAGTCAGGAATGAAAACAGTTGTAATCTTGTCACAGCTGGAAGCCCACATCTCAGCCACCCTAATGTTTTGCATCACGACTTCTAGCCTGTTCCCTCTACTTCTAACCATCAGTTGCTGATAACCTAATAATGCTCTTCTTCTCTTAATGCATAGGTTGGAGTCTTGGTAGAGGTGGCGACATACTACGAGGTAGGCATGTGCATGTTAGAATTCTGATCCGCTGAAGAAGAGTATTTTTCTTGAAGAAAATTACTCTTTTTTTGGTACTACAAACTCCAGAATCCCCTAGACCAGTGGTGGCGAACCTTTTTGGGTTCTCGTGTCCAAACTGAAAAAAAAACCCAGTGAGCGGTGTGCCGTGGTAGTGGTGGAACCAGAAGTGGCAGTGGAAGGGGGAACCCCAGGCGCAGAGGTGCCTCGAGACTCCACTCCGGATCTGCCTGCTAGAGTGCCAGCACTGCGGCTGCAGCCGCCTTTTCAGGTTTGGCTACACGGGGGGAGGAGAGTAGCAATCTGGCGACTTATGGCTTGCCTGCCTGCAGAAAGGGCTCCGCATGCCAGCTGTGGTTCGCCACATGTGGTTCGCTGCATGCCAGCATAGGTTCACCATTGCTGCCCTAGACCATGCTGGCTAGAGAATTCTAAAACTGCATTATTAAAAAAATAGCTGAAAGACAGGGGAAGGGGGGAAAGGACCCAGAAAACAATGAAAGAAACAAGAAAAAACTGGAAAGGGCCAGAAGCCCATTTCTGGTTTTGAAAAACAGGTACTTGTGTGTTAAATACTGCCGGGCCTGAACATGAATTGTTCCTTCTGGAGGCTTTCTGGATTGGGAGAAGTGGATGTTACTTGTGGGGTGGAGGGATTAGGGAAAACCATCTTCTGATGGCATCAAAGGAGGTAAGATTTATTTTGGAGGGATATACACTTTGCACACCCATGAAATGGAAAGCTGCTGCCATTTGGGTCAAAGTCAAGTTGAGCTACAGTAGGCAAGATTGAAAAGGATGCAGGTAAGACTGGGGGTAAAAGTGGGGGCTTTTTTTTTGTAACAACTGACACCCTTGCTATGCATTCATTTGAATTTACCATGCAGTGAAACATGCACATATGGATATTCTTATCCTAACCCACTAGGGATCAGAAGCGATTAGTTTTGTAAAAGGCACAATTGTTTCTTCAAAAATTGGAAGAAATGCTTCTGCCACATGGCGCATGCTTGTAGGACAATGGCAGGTGTCTACCTAGCCCTGGTTGTGTAATTTGACACTGACCCAGAAAAGCATGATGCTCCTAAAGAGAAGTTGGTTTTCCACTTAATGGAATTAGAACACAAGGACCGAGGCTGTATCTGTGTTTGATTCCCCATTGTGCCTCCTGCAAGTAGACCCAGCCTGTGTGGCCTTGGACAAGCTTTTAAACAGGTTTTTTTTTGGGGGGGGGGTTCTGTTCTTGATCAGCAGTAACAGTCCCTCTAAGCTGCGGGAGTGCACAGCTCCATCGGGCACACACAGCCAAGCGACTGCATCTACCCATTTGCTTCCGTTTTTGGCTGGAACTCCACGTGCAGGAGGCAGAGCCTCTGTCTAGAACTCTGGAGAATTAGAGGGAATGTTGATCAGCAGTCATGAGAAATAGTACCATTTTTTTTCTTTTAGTGGCAGAGAGACAGTCAGATCTAAGCATCACTTTATTCATCTGCCCAAATATAAGAAATGTAATTTGCTGATAAGCAGTTATATTTGGGAAGTATTTATGTGCTAGCATAAATGAAGGACATGTTTATGTATTTCAGTAGGCAGGACACACATTGTAATGCAAAGGACCAAAGCTATCCTCTTAGTTGCTAGAAGCCACATGTAGATTGAGAGGAGAGCAAAAAGGCCCTTCTTGCAGTGGTCCTAGTAACCAGCACAACTGTAAACCAATTACAGTGGACCCTCTACTTACGGAATTAATCTGTATTGGAAAGGTAGCTGCAGGTTGAAAGATCTGTAGGTCGAGTCTCCATTGACCTACAATGCATGGAAAACCAATTAATGCCGTAACCGTCCATTTTTGTTCCATTTTGGTTTTTTTTTTTCTGGTCTGCAGGTCGATTCTCCAGCTGCAAGTCGAACCTAAATTTTGTGGCCAGAGAAGTCTGTAACTCAAAAAGTCTGTAAGTCGAGCCGTCTGTAAGTCAAGGGTCCACTGTAAACATCAGAACCATGCCACTTACTGGGGCCACTGTAGCCTTTCTAATGCCCAGTTCCTATTGCCAATAGCATAAATGTCAAAAATATATATGAAATGAAGCCCCATTGTGCTCAGTGGGACTTAACATGGAGGAGACACCTACAAGGCTGTGTTGAAACAGATGATGTGGTGGAATATTTTTGAAGCCAAAGGAATACATGACATGATTTATCTACAAAAAAGTTTAATTGAAATACCTGTATAAAAAAATATGATCTCCATACATTTCACACTGTTAAACAGAAGAAAAGAAAATCCAAATCCAAGCTGCATAAATGCAACCAGATCACAAAACACACAGCTATTAAAATAAATTAATGTTTATGACTCTGCCACGCTTCCTTCCAGAGCCAATGCACAAAGACTGTACAATGTCAATAATTTAAAACCCTTCCAAACAGCATTACTTTACAGTTCTGGTATGTAAATAATACCAGACAAAAAAGGCATACTAACTTTTAAAGTCATTCTAGTTCCCTTAAATTAGACTTTGTACAACAATTTTCCATCTTCCAACCAAAAACAAAGAAAAAAAACCCAGGTATGGTCAGACTTCAGTTCTTCTCTTGAAACCACACACACACACACACACATACACACACAAGAAAAGAAAAAAAGGAAAAGGAGAAAAGGAAAAGAAATGAAAAAGAGAGAAACAGGAATGCAAAACCAAGTTGTGGACCAACTGTAAGAATTTCCACGGCAGGAGAGAGAAGCACAGTGTTGAATAGTTCTAAACAAATAAATTAGCTAAAATAAATAGCCACAAATAAGACTGTGAAAGGTCATCTAAAACTCCAGACAATAAATAAAACTGTATAATACATGGAGGGGTGGGGAACAACCCAAAATGTACATAAACGCATTATACAGGTATGGAAAAAACACACACAAAGTCCTTGAATATTGCATTGATTGTGCATTTAACATGCCCATACATACTTTAAGACTTGCAGGTTGAGGGAGTTGATAAGGGGCCTCTTTTTTGTTTGCTTTGTTTGTGCCCAGTGGTAGAGATGATGAAATGAAATATGAGAGTGTTCCTGATTAAAACAGCTGAAAACCTGTGCAGCCTATTGGAAATACAGTGTGGAGCAGCAGAGGTTGTCTCTTAGGGTGGGGTGGGGGTCGAGGAGGGCTGGGAGAGAACTGGGGAGGAGTGAAATGTCTGTGTTCAAGTATTCCATCGCCAGTGGATGGGACTACTTCATTCAATCACTGAACATCTTTTCCAGTGCATTATAGGAGCTGCTCTCCCCCTTCCTCCAGCACTTGGAGGGACTCAAGGGCATCAAATCCTATAATGTACTGGATCTTCTTTGGACATACACAGCTCAAAAAAGAAAGTCCCACTGAAGCAGCTTTCAAAAAGGCACTCAAAAAAGCAAATAAAATCTAGTCCAGGCTCTATGAGAGCAAAAAGGTTACCATGTTATTGAAAGAGGTCACTGCTTTTCTTAAGAAAAAGGTCAGTCTCGTGACTAAGCACTGGCCTGCAAACTCCCAAACGTCCGTGTTTCCAAAGGAAATCGTTCATTCCAAAGCAGAAACCAGCAAAAAAGGGGGGGAAAATAAAAATCAATTCCCTCTGAAAAAAGATTCAAACTACAGGATAATGAATGCATTTGTTTTTCCTAGCCCCTCCTACATATTGGCAGCAGCAGCAACAGCAGCACTCTGGTCTTTTTTGTTTGTTTGTTTGTTTTCTGGTTTATTTTGCTTTTCCTTTCCTCCTGCTTGTAGCTCCCCTCCCCTTGCAAGGTCCTCAGTATTTCACAGGCTCTCGTTGCTCGAACTTGTGCTGGACACATCAGTGTCAATGGTCCGTAGCCTTATGTCGCAATCTTCTGACTTCACAACTTCTGATTTGTGCATCCACGGGTGGTCAAAGATTTGCTCAAGGGCGGGTCTGTCAGAAGGCCTCAGTGAAAGGCACCATTTGATCAGCTGCTGGCATTCTGAAACACATTTGGGAAACAGATTAGGAGATGGGAGGTAAAAAAAAGGATTGAAAGGAAGCGGGTGGGCAAGTGAAGAGTTGTTACAGGGCTGGGGAATCTAAGCTTACCAGGTGAAATTCTTCTTCGGAAGTATAGCCGCCCCCTCAAGATCTCTTCGTCTTGCTCAAAAGGAATGTCTCCACAGACCATGTCGTACAGCAGGACACCCAATGACCACACTGTGGCTGACCTTCCATGGTATCTGTGGTAGCGGATCCACTCTGGGGGACTATACACTCGTGTTCCTGCAATGGAAAATAAGACTACCCTCAATATTATCCAAAAAAACCTGAGCCTTTATTAGAGGAGTGTTAAGCGGACATTTCTCCGAAGCCTGTATTTTCTTTTAAAAAATCCACAATATATACAAACACATTTGAAAATTCTAGAACTGGAATCATTCCTAGTATTATATCATGTTTTAATCTGGAACCTTTGGTCATGCTGTTTTGTTACAGTGGATAACGCAGCTTCCCATCAGCTGACTGTTTACTAACATAAAGCTCCCTTGCCCCGACCACGTGGCGTCTGCAGCACCGCACCAAAAATAGACACAAAAGGACAAAGGGAGAGGACGAAAGGAGAAGGGAGAGCGAGCGAGCGAGAGGCAGGAATGAGAAGAAAAAGGTGAAACTCAGGTCTCAGTTGCTATATATACATATACACAGCTAATCGGCTATAATCAGTTCCCAAAGCATGTTAAAACAGAGCCATTTCCCTTTTTAAAAAACAAACACATTCAGAATAGTAGTAATAATAAAAACGAGCAGCGAAATCTGCCTCCCGCATAAAGAAACGGTTAGCAACTGCCCTCCCTCTGCACTGAGCTGTTACTTGGATACCAAATAAAAACTGGAATTTGTGATGCTGAAGGTCACATGGCCATGAGGCTCGAGTTTCACAACAAACAGATGTTAAATGCTGCAGCTGACTAAGGAAGGAGGAGTGAAAGTCCCTCATTTCTCTCTCTCATTCACCTTGAAAGGAAAAAAAGTATCTTTCACCAGTAGATGAAAGGAAAAGGCTTGATCTTTGTTTCAATACAAAGAAAGCAGTATGTGTTTAAATTTAGGAAGTTGCAAAGGAGTGGTGCATTTCTTCTACACCCTCAATCTGCAATGCGGGATTTCTAAACTCTCATATAGGAAAAAGAGATTGGGCAGAGAATTGTGGGGGCAAGAAGCCCAGACAGGCACACTGGCACGAATAAGGTTTGAATCAACCATGAACACATGGCCTTCTAGGAAAATGCTTATTTTTTTTAAGGCAAGGAAAATATAAACTGCTGCGTCACTACCTGGAATCACCTTTTTTTCCCTCACATCTTAACCTCCCTCCACAAAACCACCTCCCATGAAACTGATTTAATTACCACTGGCACTGTTAATAGCTGCTGCAGCAGAAATATCTTTTATAACTAATGGGTGGTACAAATGTGACTAAGATACAGGGAGATGCATCAGTAGAAGCACTGGCATGGCGAAATGTTTTCAGACTCACACATGCACACACACTGTGGATGGGAGGGGCACCTACCATCAAAATCAGTGTACACAGTGTCCTTGAGGATGGCTCCAGACCCAAAATCGATCAGCTTCAGTTCCCCTGTCCGGAGATCCACCAAGAGGTTCTCGTCCTTGATGTCCCTGTGCACCACACCACAGTTGTAGCAATGGCGCACCGCCTCTAGCACTTGCCGGAAAAAGCCCCTTGCTGTCTCCTCATCCAGGGCTCCCTTCTCAGTGATGAAGTCAAAGAGGTCTTTCACCAGGTCTGGCCGTTCCATGATGATCAAGTAGCCGTCTGGTCTCTCGTACCAATCGAGCAGCTTGATCACCCCACGGAAGCCTGAACCCACTTTCTTCAAGAGAACAATCTCCAGGGGCACCATTACTCCACCCTAGGAGGAGGGAGAGCGAGAGGAGGGGGGGAAAAGGACAACATTATTAAGGCTTGGAACGCCATGTAAGAAGATGGGAGGGGGAGGAGAAGGGAAAATCCCCTCTCTTGGCCATTTGAAAACAAATCACACTGCCTGAATGGAAACTCCAGCAGCAATGCGGGGAGTGGGAGGGGGCTGGGGAAATCCACAGCCGCTCCGCTGGGTGTCGCTGGGTGTCTCTGTTGCCGCAGTCAAAAGGGGGAGGGCAGGGAGGGGAGCAGGAGGGCAGCAAAACCCCGCCAAATTCTCCCCAAACGTAAACAATAACAGAAGCCTGAGAGCCAGGCGGCAACATGGACGGCCGGGAAGGGGGGGGGGAAAGGCACACCAACAATTGCTGATTCTCCATATGAATCTGGGGAACATGTAGTGGTGCAACCACCTCCCCCCCTCCAACAACACCTAATGGGTACTTACTATTGTGCCCCACTCGGTCACTCTCTCCTTCACCACATGCTTCACGGCAACCTGGATGCAAGGAAGAAAAATAAGAGGTTAAGAGGCTGAGTGGGCTTGGGGAGACCAAGGGTAGATATTGAGCCTGTTGCTTGTGGGAAGAAGGGGGTTTCAGGATCACCCGAGATGTAGATGCCTCCAGGTGTCGTCCCCCCCCACCCCGGGGTTGGGATTTCCAGCCTCCCTCTGCTCCTCCCCCACCAAAAAAGAAGAATCGTCAGGCGCCTCGGGTGGGAGTGGGGAACCCCCCCACCCACAACAAAAGCCTCGTGGCTGGGGGCGGGGAAGGGTGAACTGAGGAGCCTCCTCTTACCGGCAAGCCATCTGCGATCCTGTTCCCGGCATAGACTGTACCAAATCCCCCGCTGCCCAGCACGGAGCCCACTTGATAGATTTTATCGAACGGCTCCTTCTCCACTTTCACTGGAGGCGGAAAGCAAAAAAAGAAAAAAAATTAATATATAAAGGGGGAGAAGAGAGCCGGCGTCAGTACAGAAGGGGAGGCAGGGAGAGGCGGGGAACGAAAGGAAGGGGGGGAAAAGGAAAAGAGAGAAGAGATTGCAACCCATGTTTTGACGTAGGATTAGGGGGAACAGGAAGCAATGTCACCCTAGGGCGGGAAAGAACATGGTAATTGTGTGTGGCTGGGCTGGCTTTGCCTCCCTCTCCCCAGCCAGAAATGCATGTGAGGGGACACACACAAACACAACGATCGATTCGTGGGATGATGGGCGGCAAAGAGGGAAACACCACAACTCCCAAGCCGATGGCAAGGGGACCTGCTCAGATCTCCGCTTCCTCCTACCTACCCCCCCCCAAAAAAAACACAACCGCTCCATCCTTAAGCGAAATTATCTGAAACGTCACATCATCGCTCTCCCCCCCCCCACGCCACTCCCAACTAAGCGGTGGTATAACAACAGACAATTCACAGGAACCGGACTAGGAGCGGAGATTTAAAAAGAGAGAGAGAGAGAGAGAGAGAGAGAGAGAATCCACCTCAATGGCTGAGACCGTCGTCGGAAAAGGTGTTCTCGGTGCCACGCAAGGTCTTTGCTCAGAAAACATTCACGCGTCTCTCTCCCCCCCCACCCCCCGTCTCCCGCCCATCGCGGCTCTGTCTACACGCAGATAATGCCCTAAAAACACGCGATCATCCACTCCGCCCGCACTACCACCACCGCCCCCCCCCGCGCCACTAAAACCAAGCCAGGGAAAATAACCAGGGATTTGTTTACCTGGCTGGAGGATCTTCACCGGCAAGTGATCCATGCTGGTTGGGTTGCAAAGGTGAGCAAGTGAGCCAAACTTGGAGAGTAACATCTTCCGAAGCGACCACCAAAGGAGGGGGGGTGAGGAAAAAAAACACGAAAAACCCGCTAGGAATCGAGATCCGAGTGCTCTTTTCGGTTTGGGGATTCAATGCAACCGGAGAATTAAAATGATAATAATAATAATGAAGAAGCCCTTCTCACAAAAGTATCTGCTGATGCCCGCAATTGAGAAGAGCCAGGGGCGCAGCAGCCTCCTTCCCAAGATTGGGAAGGAGGGGGGGAAAAAAAGGAGACTTGTAAGCAGCAACTGTCTGTGGATCTCCCTTCTCCCTCTTTCCTTTCCCCCTCCAAATAGTTCAGAATAGTTCCTCTGAGGATGATATCTGTTCCTCTCTCAAAAAGCAGAAATCGGGATTTCCGGCGAGAAGGAGTAATAATAATAATAATATAAATAATAATAATAATACAGCAGAATCCAGGTGAAAACTGAACTGCGTCCTTTCGAAACACCAAAATCCCACACGCGCTTGCAAGGAGTGGGGGAATAGAATAAAATGAAGAAACACCACGATCTCCTTTGCTCGGTTCAGCCGCAGACAACGAGTCCTAATTTTTCCTTCTCTTTTATTATTGTTGTTGTTCTCGTGGTTTAAAAGGAACCCATCCAAGCTGGAGCCTGGCGACGAAGGTATATAAAAAATCCACTCCTCTGGTCTTTTTTTTCCCCTCTTAGAAACTGCCCGTGTGGTGACTCTGAATTCAATCCAGCACCGCAGTGAGACCGCTCGCCCTACCGAGCAGCAGGAGGAGCAGCAGCAGCAGCACCTCCGCCTCCGACCGATACTGCTCTCTTCTGGGCTCAATTACACGGAGGAGCTGCCTCTTAACTCTCAATATTTTGGTGGGGGGGGAGGGAGAGAGAGAAAGCGCAGACACGCACGAACACACCAATATCCCTCCGCGGGGGGAAAGAGGTGGCAGTAGGGACACGTCCCTTCTTCCTTGCTTGCTTGCTCGCTCTCGCGCCCTCCCTCCCTCCGCTCAGCAGAGGATTGCGCGCGCGCGCGCTCTTTCCCGCTACCTCAAACGCTCGGACTGCGGAACCTCGCCCCGTGCGATAAAATACAAGGGGCGGGGCGCCCGGGCGGGGCGCCCGTGGGGCGGGGGAGAAGGGAAGGGTATATGAGGGCTTGGAACTATTTGCTTATAGTAAGAGACGCGCAAAGTTACTGTCTGAAAAATTCTCTTCTTGGTATTATACTGCCGAGGGAGGGCGAGCGAGCGAGCGAGCTCGAGACCAGAGGGGGGGGAAAAAGGGGGAAGGTTCTCTCATTTGCATGCGCTGGAGTCTCTGCCCAATGAGAGGGGCGGCTTTTCAAAATGAATCTCTAGCTCCGGCCAGTCAAGGAAAGGCGGATTTGTATATGCATAAGAGGAGGAGGGGGGGCAGTTACGAGCGGCAGGGCGGGAATTCCTAGGCGCGCCTTTCTCTCCCTGGCGGTGTTGGGGAAGGTCATTCTCAGTGGAGTTGAGACCTTGCGTCTCTGAAGCGGGAAATTTCGGGGGAGTCACTGAAGGGGGGAGGGAAGAGATTGGGTGGGTGGGTAGGAGGCAGAGAGGGATCCCGTGAGCCCCGCCATGATCTCCATACTGGGGATACCTGCACAGGGAGGGGTTTTCTTTTTCCTTGAAAAAAAAAAACACACACACTAAAACACACGTTCCGTACCTCAGCTAAACGAAACAGAAATCTGCGTCATTGAGGAGGGTTCTTCCACAGACTGCAAGCCTCGCGCTGCAGCATTTAAAAAAAAACCCAAAAAATCCAAACAAACTCAAAAACGCATGGGAATGTGCGAGCGAAACCCTTCAGGTTGCTCTTGGTATCTCGTCGTGGCCGCAGAGACCCAATAATAAGAGAAGGCTAATATTAAAAACCCGAGGCGACACCCCATCCCCCCTGATAATGTGGGAACCCAAGGCGTAAAAAGATAAAATCCTACACCAGAGTGCGTGTTCCCTTTCACATCCATATGGGTGGTGTAAACTGCTAATTCTTTAGTATTAATGGTGGTGGAGGAGGAGGGAATTTATAGGCAGGGGATCTTCCCCGTTTCACCTGTAAACGGTGTGTAACTTGTATCGTCTATGTGGTGTAATCTCTTGTCACAGCTGCTTAACACTGCAGACCAGCTCCCCAGAAAAATCGGGGCTGCCGCCTTCGGGGAGAAACGGCAGCTCCCAAGAGTCAAATGTACGTGGATATGAAATCCACCTTTAATGCCTGCCACTGAACGTCTCTTATTACTAGGAGCATATTAAATTCTTCAGATTATATCTGCAATATCTTGGAGGAGTGTAAGATTTCCTTTCTCCCTAAAGAGAGATTCATAACAAGAGCGAGCAAAGTGACCCCCCCTCCCCGCCGTCGCTCCACAGGCAGACACGCACACACACACACGGTCTTATTTTGTCTAGAAGCGCTGGCTGGCGGTGGAAATCCACCCAGCAGCAGCAGCAGCAGCAACAGCCACCCACCCACAAAGAAGCTCAGAGACATGCACGCGCCGCGCTGTCTCACGTTTGAATTCTTGCTTGTACTTAAAAGGCGACGGGCTCCCGGTCGTCTGGAGCCCAGCCGCTGTAGCGCCTCTCCTTTTCCACAGGGGGCGCCAAGTCTACAAGGAAAAAAGAACATCCTGCGCCTCCTTCCTCGGCCGCCGAAGGAAAGCCACATGGCCGCGTCATCTCTCAACCCTGCCAAGCCTCGCTCTGTTGGGAAAGCAGTTTTACGCTGATTCTGGATTATTATTACTTTCTTGAAAGCACGAATAAAAAAGATCCTCGGCCTTGCAAGGAATAAATTTTGCAAGCCTGCTTCAGTGAGGCGTTGCGAGCCTGGCTTAGCAAACCCCACGGATGCAACATCGAGGAAGGGAAGGCTTAGATTTGGAGTCCTAGTTATGAAGGATCGGTTGCTGGAGAGACCAAGGATTAAAACGTGTTGAGGCGAAAAACTATGTCAGGTTTAAAAGGCCCCCGCGGGATTACAACGCATGTGTATAATTCTAAGAGCGTTGTAAAACTTGGAAACCACACTTGCCCTAAACTGCAGTTTGCTCCGTTTGGGCTTCAGTCTGGAAACTGGGTGTGGCTCTTTTGCAAGGCTGTTCTGAATATTCAGCCTTATCTCCTGAGAACTGCCCTATCAGACTGATAGCCCACCTCTTCCATGGTTCCTGATGCACCAGTGAGCCAGTCTGGTGCTGGTGGGAAGGCCACACATAGGAAGTGAGCACAGCAGGGCTGGTGGTCCCCAGTGGTCATTCAGGGACAGATTGGAGTTGTAGTCTGGAACAAATATCGAACATGACAGGTAAGCACTGATAGAGTAGCTGCTGCAGGGTCACCAAAATGGAGGACATGGAGAAGAAGAAACATCAAAAAGGAAGAAATTCTTCACAAAAATAGACATTTTTGCTTTAAATTTGCACATGCTAATTCAAATTAATATATGTAAATATTACATTCATCATAAGAATAAATATATGCAGATATCACTGTTAGACGTTCTTCAGTCAAAATACATTACTGCTCACCACCATATCACAAGATTGTCATGTAACCTGTGACCTTGGACACAGCATCAGGATAAAGATAGCATTTAAAACAAATAAGACATTCTATAACAAATCTCAGAAATACCCTATGTCATGCAGTTTCTGCAGCTTACTGATGTGTGAGTGTGTGTCTGTAGAAAATGAACAAAGGTCACTGTAGCTTTGTTAAAATATCTAGCTAGGCAACAATCAGTTATTTTACAAGAATGGTCTGAACCATGCTTTCAGAATGCCCACTCCTGGGACTGACTTCACATCTGAAGTTCAAACAGAATTGACAAGTTGTGCCATATCCTTCCTGGTGCTTGTCAAGTTTTACTAGTGTGTATGGTTTACATCTTTTTTTACAAAATGACCCCATTGGCAACACTTGCTTAAAAAAATGAGAGGGGGCTAATTAGATAAATTTACTAATCAAGTGTCAGCTTTTTCTGCCCACTCAAGAAAACTCACAGGGTGTGGATAGCCACTTACATATCACAAAAAAGGAAGACATGCATCACTAAAATGGAGGACAATTCAAATGGAGGACTGCCCCCCCCCAAAGGAGAACATATGAACACCCTAACTGATAGCCTTGTTTTCCATAGATATTTCCAGTGCTTCTTTCAAACTATCTGGGCTCATGGCCATTGCTATATTTTATAGAAGTGATTTACATCGTTCCATCTGTGTGTCTTGTATGATGTGATAAAGTTCTTTTACCTGTCTTTAGTCTCTCATCATTCAGCTTCATTGGAGAACCTGGAATTTAGTTATGCATAATGTTAGACATCTTTATCCCCTAGCCGCCTTACTTGTCTTTTGTCCAATCAAAAATATTTATATCAAATATGGTAAGCTTTTCTCATCAAATAAAATATTTGTTCAAGCCCTTGGTCATTTTGGTTGCCCCTTGTATAACAGGTTGGTTTTCTTGGGTAGCACAGTTAAGTATAGTGAAGCTTATGGCACATTTTATCATGGCCACCAGCTCAGCACATGCTAGGTTTTGCTAGAATGTTTTCCCCCGAAAAATCCTCTATCAACACTTTGCCAGTATAAAAATATGTTTAATTGCATGGATCAGTTTGGGACTATAATAGGGATAGAATTTCAACATATGAAGACTAGTCAGGTATGTAGATGCTATTGCCCTTCCATTATCCATCAGCATCGTTGAGCATTGAAGATCCATTTTACTTCAGGGTAGGGAAGGAAGAAGAGGAAGCTGCCTCCTGCCCATGCACGGTCCTCCCTACCCTGGAAAAGGGAGGGCAATACAGAGAAACAAGATGTGGGACATACATGCAGGGGAAAGGAGGGCATCCTGGGAGAAAGGGACCATGTGGGTTTGAAAGAAAAGGTGGGAAAAGAAGAGGAGACGAAAGATGGGGAAGAGAAGCCTTAGGAGGAAGGATATAAAGGTGTGGTGTAAGGAAGGGAGGCAGAGGAGTCCGGATGGGTGGAAAGTAAAAAAAAATGGAGAGAGAGCCTTGCAGGAGGGTTGGGAATGGATTGGGTTAGAAAACCCATGGGCTGGAGAATGGGAGAAACTGGTGGTGCCCCAGGAAGAAGCAGAGAGGAGGAGGAGGAAGAAAGTGCCACGGGGGGGGGGGCAGCGGCGGGGGGGGGGGGGGAGGGAAAGGTGAACAAGCCACAGCCCAGGCAGAAGCAATGAGAGGAAATATCCCCTCCACGAAAGACCAGTTGCAAGTCAGACAGGAAGGCCTGGGAGAACTCTCTCTCTCTCTCTCTCTCTCTCTCTCTCTTTCTCTCTCTCTGTGTGTGTGTGTCTGTCCAAGATGATGAGGAATGGTGAAGGCAAGAGTCATCATTACCTTCTCTGCTGGTGCTGTTGCCACAAGAATCCACACCTCTACTAAAGGCTAAAAGGGAAAACCCCTGGACTCGTAAAAAGAGGGAAGCTCCTAAGTTTGAGAAGAGTTCTTTGAACCCTTTCCTCTCCAATTGGAGGGGGAAATGTTATTGCCAGTTGAAGATGTGAATACTTTTCATTTGCCTTTTCCCTTTGCCTCACCTGACTCCTTTGCTTCTTTTCACTTCACTGCTCATCTTTTATTTGACCCGGGATATTTCTTGATTGTGCTTTTATTGAACAATTGCACTGTTTCATTCACAGAATTTTATGGAGAACTCAGACAAAGAGGTCTTCCATTTGTAACCCTCCTGTGTTTTCCTACCATTCCCCCCATTTCTTCTGTTCCCATGTTAAATCCATTAAGGAAGATATATTAGTACAGTAGCTCAGGGGTTTATTGATTGAAACTTCTAGAGTCCATCCATCTGGAAACACCTTTAGAAAGATGTTCAATCTGTATGAAAGTTGTTCTACTTTGGCCCGTATTATGGAAATGGTTCTGTTGGTTCTTCTAATTCTATCTCTTGCTTCAAATAAGACGTGCT